GTAGGGGGTGGGGGTGGGGGTCCTGCTGACCCTTTGCCTCTCCTGTCAGACACAAGCTTCTGAAATGGTGGGCTCAGTCCTTCCTCCCCGGGGTCCCCCATGTTGTCGCTGGCTTCCGGAACCCAGAAGGCTTCGTCTGTTCCTTAAAGACCTTTCCTACCATGAAGATGTTTGAAAACGTCAGGGTAAGGCAGGGTGTCACAGCTGCCACCCCACCACCCACCACCCCGCCCCGTGCCAGGACCTCAGGGGTCCCTTTGCCCTCTGCCGTCCCTCCTCCCACCCCCAGTCTCCTGCCTCTTGTCCCCCCAGAATGACCGCGAAGGCTGGAACCCCTCTGTGTGCATGAACTTCTGTGCGGCCTTCCTTAGTTTTGCCCAGAGCACAGTTGTCCAGGATGACCCCAGGTAAGGACTTGAGGTCTGTGCACCACCTCTGGGTCTCAGCGCAGTCTCTGACTTCACCCTGCTCCTCCTCCTCCTTCCTCCAGGCTTGTCCACCTCTTCTCCTGGGAACCTGGCGGCCCAGTCACTGTGTCTGTCCATCGGGATGCGCCCCATGCCTTCCTGCCCACGTGGTATGTGGAGGCTATGACTCAAGACCCCCCATCACTCTCAAAGACCCCCTCCCCCAAGGACTGAGGCTTCAGAGGACACACCAGTCGGTCTATTCGGATAATAAAAGCGTGTTTCTAAGCAGGTCTCTTGCTGTGTCTCAATAGAGTCATCCCTGCCCCGTGCTCCTGGCACTCTGGTTTGCTGTTTTATTGTTACACTTTGATCCACCCCCTTCACTGGGTGTAGAGACTGGCTGCGAAGACAATGTCCCGCCGCAGCAAGGTGGCTGCCGTCTCCATCTTGGCACCCAGCACAGGCTCTCCTACCAAACGGGCCGCTCCTCGAAGTGAGCGACACATCTCGGCCAGGCGCTGGATGCAACGGACCACCAGGCCTTCGGGGGTCCCTGAGAGCCCTGCCAGCTCGGAGAAGGGCTATGGGGAGAGCGGAGAGAAGACTGAACGTGCCGGCCTGGGCAACCTCTCCCGCCCGCCGGCCACCCGCCAGGCCCAGGCACTCACCATGCCCCGAGCCCACTCGTACACAACCTCGACCAGCCCAAAGTTCAGCTCTCCCACAAACTCCTCCACTGTCTGGTTCAGGCCACAGGCCACCTGAACCTCACCAATCCGCTTAGCCACAGCTCTGACACGCTCTACCCCCTGCAGAGAGTGAGGAGAGGTCAAGGCCTCCAGGACCAGGGCCAGGAGGGCCCCTGATCAGGAAGAGGCTATGCACACCTTGGGAGGCGTCTACCAGGACTGGGTAGAGGGTGGGGGTGGGGATGCACACACAAAGAGAGGGGTGAAGGCCCTACCTGTTTGAGGGTGCTTGGGAGCTGATCCCCAGGGTCACCAGGGCTCTGGCAGACCAGGCCAGAGAGCAGAGCTGCAATCTCCTCGGGTCGCAGGGTGCTCAGTGCGTTATCAAACATGAGCTCCGTGAGGAGCAGCTCATGGCTGCTCATGGCGCAGGCCACCCGTCCAGCCAGCTTCACTGTGCCTGCCTCGTCCACGTAGCCCAGGGTCCGGAGCACCTGCAAGAAAGGGTGAGGTTGGGAGCCTGACTGCTCTCCGGGATCCCCTGGCCTGGCATGCCCCGTCCCGCTCTCACCTCTACACGCTGGTGGTACTCGGGGAGCAGCAACAGTGACTGGTCGGACAGCAGGAAGCGCAGCCTCTCCATTTCCTTCTGGATCCGCATTCGCTCCCGCAGCTTCAGGTACTAAAGGAAGCCGCAGCAGGGACGTCAGCCCCTCACCCTCAGCCGGGGTGCACTGGGCACAGGGCTGAGGGAGGGGTCACCGGGCACAGGGATGCTCTGCTTAGGCTCTACCTGGGCGGGGAACCGGGGGCTGTGCACACACTGGGCCCCCCGGATCAGCTCCTCCAGCCTCCGGGCCCGGAGCCCACCTTCCACCACTGACACATCCTTGAGCTGCAGGTCGTTGACGGGGTCCAGGGTTGGGGGTCCTGAAGGATGGGCCTGAGCCAGACGCAGCAGCTCCTGGACTGCAGTGGTCACAGCGGCAATGGGAGGGTCCTTCCTGAGGGGCAGGTTTGGTGATCAAGAGTCTTCTTTGCTACAGGGACCTCCCCTGGAGCTGAGGAAGTCCCTCAGCTCCCCACTTCATGACCTCTCTGTACATGCCCCCTCCCTGGAAAAAGGTTCCCCAAGTCTCTGACCTGAACTTCGGTTGCTGCCTCCTGCTGAAGTCCTCAGAGATCTTCTCCCCACTCACCCGCAGCACTCGGGTGGAGATGGCAGCCACATCTCCTGGCTGGAGCTTCACCACAGTGTGCTCACAGGGCCCTGGAAAGCGAATCAGGTCAGCCTTCGCCATGGCCCAGGCATCCTGTTCCCACCACCATCAGGAACTCACCTTCAGGCAGGAACAGCTTGAAGCCCACGAGGTCATCCGGGTAGGGCACATCTGGAGTGGCTGGCCCCTTGTCCCGTGGGCTCTCGGACACAACAGGCTTATCACACAAGACCAGCGTTGTAAATACTCTGCTGGCGGAGTTTGAGGAGACCTACAGGGGGCGTGCATACCAAATGTGGACATGGTATGCCCACCCTGCGCAGGGGTTGGGACCCCCTCCCCCGCAGAGCCCTTGAACTGTGGGGGTGGGGGGTGGGGGGCCAAGCCAAGTAACTGGAGGAGCTTCTTGGGGGCCAGGCACAGAGACAGACACAAAGTGACAGGTGACAGGAGCCAAGAGGAGCACACGAGTCGTGACGTGCCAGCCCCGGGGAGACAGTGCCGAGCCGCCATTCTCTGGGGGTGAGGGCCCTCTTCTGCTCACCTGCAGGATCACACCTAACGCATTGTGATGCTCCTCATTCTTCACAACTACCACCCTTCCCGTCGAGAGAGACTTCAGCCCGTTCACAGACTCCATGATGCGTCTCTGGAGAGCAGGACAGGCACAAGGGGACGTGGGAAGATGTGAGACCAGGACACTGGGACTAAGTTTAGAGGCACCAGTGTGAGCCACTGCCCTCTTACATCTCCCCGACGTCCGCACTTCCTCACCTGGATCATGTTCCGGGTCTCTGTCAGCTCCTCCCCCCAGCTGTAATATTCAGGCAGGTCGGCCAGTTGGCCAGTCACGTCAGGCTCCTCCAAGGCCCCCAGCCTCTTGGTGAGTTCAGCCAGAGCCTGCTCATGGGCCTGAGTAGAAGGGAGGGTTATAACAAGTCTGCAAGCCCAGCCCTCTCTACTCCTACCAACCCCACAGGCCATACCCCCCCACGGGCCAT